GATTGTGACTCCACTGTATGTGTTTGTCAAAGCTCCTTGGAGCCAAATGCAGTGGCACATGGCTGCAACCCCAGCGACTCAGGAGGCCGAGGCAGGAGGATAGCAAATTCAAAGCCAACCCTGAAAATTGAACAAGGCCCTGCCTCAAACTGAAAAATAAAAAGGGCTGGGGATGTGGCTCAGTGATAGAGCACTGCAGGGTTCAATCCCCAGCATCAAAACCAAAGCCCAACTCATTGGAATGTACTATATGTAAGTTCTATTTGATATTTTTTAAAAAATACCAAACTGCTTGTTTACAAAATCCGTCAAACCTACCCACCCCTCCCTTTTACCTCTTGGAGGAATTCTGATCTTGTAGTTATTGAAGAATTAGTATTTTTCTAGTCCAGGATGGGTATATTACTATGTCAGTGTCTCAATTTCCATATGTAAAAAGAGATTAATAGTTAAATGTCTTATGATGATGAGAAGCAACCAATCAATACTTGTAAAGTATATAGACTAGTGCTGGGGATATAGTAAGTGCTCAGTTAGTGTTAGTTCTTATTATTCATGGGCTCCTTCAAACACCTCTTTGACATACTTCCAAATGCACATCCAGGCACACTTTGTGCCTGGCCCTGGGGACTGGAGGCTGGGCACCTGGAGTAGCAATATGTTTGGGACATCTGAGATCTAGTGAAGAAGACATGTGGGGCAAACTGACATTATAGGGTGATAAGTTCTAATAACTGAGAAAACACAAGGACTATGGGGCCATGGAAGGAATTAAGAGTGTTTCTGTGAAGAGAGTCAGTGGAGTTAACCTGAGGAAAACCCCCCAGAGCCTTTACTTTTGAGGGGGGTTTTGAGGGGTAAATTGGAGTTTGGTGAATACTTCCCTGAATACCTTGTGAATCCATCAAAGTCAGAATCTGGAAAGTGTTCGAAGAGTGTTAGAGTGGAACACACACACACACACACACACACACACACACACTTCAGTGGTAATAGGTGAGGCTTTACAAGAGGCAAGGCTGAATTAAGTAAAACCAGATCCCTGTGCATCCCAAGCAAGAAATAAAGAGGCCTGCCCTGGGCCAGGATGGTGGCAGAGGATAGGACAGGCAGATGGAGAAGGTTTCACGGTGGCCAGTTGCATGTGAAAGATGAGAGAGGCTAAGGCCACAGCTGGAGCAGACCTCAGATCCTCCTATTCTTTCAAAAACTATCTCACAGTGCCTTCTCTGGTTGTGGTGCCCAGGACACAAGTGGAAGGATTCCCAGTGCCGTCATGGACAGAGATCCAGGCAGAGAAGGGTCTTGGGCAGCGATCAGGGTGTGCAGGGTTGCGCCTTGGGCGGGAGGTGAGCGCTGGCGGTGATGCGGTGGCAGCTGGTTTGAAAGTGCTGGGGTCTGCAGTTCGGGTGAAAGATGGCCTGAGCACAGCCCAGCCGGCCTGTCACCGAGGCGAGCTGTTGGGCTTGGCAGCAGCAGGTCAGGTCTCTTCTGGAGAAGAGCAGCAAGGCTTGGCGTCTTTAGATGCTAGTCCCTGAGTGGATGGAATTTCTGAATCTTGAGAGAAGGAGGAAGCATCGAATGCATTAATATGTGCCTGCAAAGGACATGATCTAGGAGCAGGAAGAGCCTGTTCTGCCTTCTATTTTTAACGACTACCCCGTGCTGGAGGGAAGGCAAAACCAGGATGTCAAACGCAGAAGCATTCACAGCAGTCAACTTGTCTCCACTCGCTTGAGGACTGGCCCCTGCTCTCCCACCCCCAGGTCATAAGTTTAAAAATAGTTCTCGTTTACAGCACCCGTCATCCCAGTTTGGGAATCTCTCTCTGTACATAAAGAGACATTATCAACTGCGACCATGACCTGCTCTGATAGAAGACAACAGGTTTGGTCGACACATCTTAAAGTGCATGTGCCCGCGAGGGACAATTCACCGTTGAGTTTGGTGCATTATCTGGTCCCTAGCAGTTTAACTTACATGCTTATACGTGTTGACTACCAACTCAGCCCATTGCTAAGAAGAAGGAATTGGAAGGTGCTACAGTTTAGAGGCGCCCTGTTCCCCAAAAGTTCATGTGTGAGACAATACAGGAACATTCAGAAGTGAAATGATTAGATTATCAGAGGTGTAGCCTGACAGTGGATGGACCTACTGAACAGGGTGGTAACTGTAGGCAGAAGGGGTGTGGCTGCAGGAGGTAGGTCACTGGGTGCATGCCTTTGAGATTTCCATTTTGTCCTTGGTGAGGGGAGCGCTCTCTCTCTCTCTCTGTTTCCTATTTGCCATATCTGGTGCTGCTTTCCTCTCCTATGACCTTCTGCCAGGATGCGCTGCCTCACTTTGGGCCCAGAGCTACGGAGTCACTGGATGATGGACTGAAACCTCTGAAACTGTGAGCCAAATAAATTTTTCCTCCTCTAAAACTGTTGGTTTTAGGCCTTTCAGTCACAACAGTGCAAACCTGATTAAACCAGGAGGCCACTAGGTTGAGACAGCTCCAGAGCCTTGGTTTCCCACCTGAGCAAACTGAAAGGTAACCCAGGGGATGGTCAGAGCCTGGGGAAAGTTTAACCAATCAGAAATTGCCTTGATCGCTAGCTAGAGATTTCGCCAATCAGAAACCACCAATTGATTGGCAGTGATTTAACCAATGAGAAACCGCCAATTGAATTCTAGCTAGAAATTACACCTATCAGAAGCCACCAATGTCAAATCATGGACTTTCCAGTTCAGCAGGTCAGTTTTTCTCTCATACCCTCTTGATGGGAGCCCAACTACTGGTGATCACAATGTCTGACCCATTAGTTGCTGTCTGCTTTTAACTGTTTAAAATTTTAACCTACCCAAGTTTATATGTTTTTTTTATTTTTTATTTTTTGCAGTACTGGGGATTGAACCCAGGAGTTTCCTGTTGTGCTACATCTTTAGCCCTTTTCTGTTTTTGAGACAGGACCTCACAAAGTTGCAGAGGCTGGCCTTGAACTTGGAATCCTCCTGCCTCAGACTCCTGAGTCACTGGGATGACATCATCCTTCCCTAAACAGTTCCTTCTCTCCTTTAATTCACACGAGAAAGATACCCTCCACCCCTACCCCCACTGACCCAGCAAGATCCCTAATCCTGCTTTCTTCAACCAGACTGCATTTAAACAATTGGGCAATGATTATGTATTGTCTCTTGGTGTTGAGCATCCTTACTTTGTTCAAGCATTCCTTAAATACTTTTCTTGTAGATTTGTATTTGTCACCATCCTGATCATTCACCGGGACAGAACCCATTCCTTGAAGGAGGACAGGTCTTCTTGAACTTGGCAAGTGTCCTTGTCATCAATACATTAGAAATTCAGTAGGATAATGTCAGTCAGTCCTCTGGGTAAGTCCCAGCCAAGAATTCCACTAGGATTTAACAGGGAACTTCTCTGCTTTATGATGTAGGTGATCGTATGTGACTGTTGAAGGTGAGTCATGGTAAGTGCAGGCAGGTCAGATGTCATTTCATGTTAAGGTGGAGTTCGGGCTGGAGGAGGCTGCTGAGATCTTTTCACTTACACTGAGCTGGAGATGCAGAAGAGGGGAGGCTGCTGGAAGCCATCTGTGAAACACATGAGGATCTCTCTGCATGGATACCAAGGAGAGATAGGCCTGGCACTGGGAACTTCCCTTGCTCTCCCCTAGCAATAGATTGCCCAGTGCACATGAGCTTTCCCTCCCCTCTGCTAGGAAGGTTCCTCAGGGTAGCTGGAGATGGGCGTAACTGTTCAGGAACTGAACAGCCCACCTTTAACCTTTTTTGGAAAGGAACATTCTATACAATCTCTTTGATGTCTCCCAATATAAAAAAGCACACGCAGGGGCCATTTTGCCAGTTCAATCCATCTGATCAGCTTGCCTCATCCTGTTCCTGCTTTGAAATTTTCTGTGTTCTGTGGTTTTTTCACTCATTTCTCCTAGCTTTTATTTCTCAGCCAGCCCATTCCACTGAGGGGAACCCCGTTCCCACTGCCTGGGTGGAATGTGGGCAGGAGAAGGCTATTACATTTTGCCCCCAAAAGAATTCTAGATCCTTATCAGAAACTTCCTATTGTCCCTGTGAGGCTGCAAAGACTATGTCCATGGATGTGGTCGCTAAAGGCATGGACAGTAATCATACTGCTCCAGAATCATTGACTTATTATTTAACTCTTTAATGTGGTTACACTCCTGTTCCTGACAACCCCAAGTGATGAGTCGTGAGGTTTTATCCTACTTAAAAATTTAGAGCACGTTTGTGTCTCAAGTCTATTTTCTGTTGCTATAAACAGAATACCCAAGACTGGATAATTTATAAAAGAAAAGTTTATTTAGCCTCATGGTTGTGGAGGTCCAAAGTTCAAGATGGGGGAGGTGAGGGTGGCCACACATCTTGTGAGGTCCTTATGCTTTCACATAGTGGAAGCTGAAAGAGGAAGGGAAAGTGGTTGTGTGTGGAAAAGACAAAACCCAAGGCAGCCTCCCTTTGTAACAATCCGCTCTCCAGGTAACTAATTCCCATGAGAATCAACAGTCATATGAGACGGCATTAATCCATTCAGGAGGGCTCAACCCTTATGATACAAGCACCTCCCACCAGGCCCAACACCTCAGTGCCTCTGTACTGAGGAATTAAGTTTCCAACACTTCTCAGGGACAGACTTAAACCAGAGCCCAGGAGGCTCTGCAAATTCATCTTGGAAATAGGTAGGGCTTACAACAAATAAATATTTCAAGAATGCACTAGGTGAATTTATAGATTTATGCTGGGTTGTTTGTTTTATGGTTTGAGCTTAGACTTCCTGCTAGTTGGGTTATAGTTTTAGGGAAGAGTTAACTCCTTGAGTGCAACATGAAGTTGATCTGTTTTTCTTTCCTTCCATCAATGAGTGCTCAGAGTGACTTATTTCAAAATTTCTAAGCAGGGTATTTACATGGTTCTTTTTTGCTCTTAGTGATCACTGCTTACATAGTAATCACATGATCACATTTAATATTCTGATGGTTTTATTAACAAGTATATAATACATATATTGCATACTGTATATAGTATATGAGGACTGTACAGTACAAATTTATGTTCACAGTTTGACATGACAAAATGTCATTACTGAATTCCCATTGGACTACAGAGTAGAAACAGAGAAGGTACATTAAACATTCACATCTTTAGTAAGAAAGATTACCAAAATGTTTCAGTATTTGCAAGTATACTAATGCATGCTAAAAACCTTTACCCATTCAGTCTTATTAGCTTATAAAATATATTACACTTTATTAAAAATTTCTGCATAGTTTATACAAGTATTAAAGTACTGTAAATGTAATAATCCTGCTATACTTGCAGGTATGGTTTAAGAGATGCTAAGCAGAAAGATTATTTTGACCCTCTAACACTAAGTACATAACAGGAAAAAAAAGTGCTAGTATTTGTAAAACATGTTGTAGCCCTCGTTTAATGCATGTAAAATGGCTTTGTAAATGTATTAAGTGAATTTGCAATCATTTAGAAATTGTTAACCTTGACCAAGAAGAGAATAAAGAACTCTGAGCGACTTTATGTGTGACAGCAATTCCTTCAAGACAACTGTGTATTTTCAAACCAAATTGTTTTAAACCTTAGATCTTTGAGATTGTCTTTAAACCAATCTAATAGGAATGATGTGCAGATATACAGTCTCAGCAATATAGTCTTTCAAATCCCACATTAGTGCAATACTGATAGTGCAGATGGGTGTTAAATAAAACATACATATACACATATAGTTCCCCTGTAATTCTGTTCCAAGGCTCTTGAAACTTCTGCATATTTAGCATCTCCTTGGTTGAACATAGCTATGCTGCAGACATTCTCCAAACCAAGCAAATTAGAATGTTAATGCCCATTTATGATGTAAATTCACATTTTGAAACTCTAATATGATGGATTCTGATTTAACTTTTATGACTTCTCCAAGATGACACTTGAGCAATAATTGAATAAACTAACAATTTACATGACAACGACTTCATGTTTACAAATCATTCTCACCAAATTAAAATATTGCAATTAAATAATGATTGAGAATAACATGGCGAATCATTAAAAAAAAAACAAACCATGTTTCAAGGGCATCTTATCTCATATCTGAGGTCTTCCACAATAATAGCTAAATGACTAAGAGACTAAATTTCTCAACTATCATAGTAAAATACAAATATATATATAAGAAAATTTGGTAAGGGCCAATGGCATCTAAAGAATATCAAACCAGCATGGGAACAGAGAATGGCCACTCTGAGCTGCTTTTCTTTCAGAGTGAAAATGGATCTTTGTTAATGAACTATTAACAAAGATCGAAGCAAGCTGCATAGTAACATAATACAGTCTTCTGAACAAAACTTAAATATGCTGTAGCAGACATCAAATTTCATGAGAACCCATGAAGCCTTCTATTAACTGCACTCAGACTTTGAGCTGTTTCACAGATCAATTCTACCCTTTCTTGTCTCCTTTCCCCGCTTATATGGGCTGGAACACAAGCTGGTGATCTTCCCTACAATAAAAAAATCCCTCTCAATTCTTCAGTGTATTGTTGAAAAACCACTTCAAGACATGAACACTCTGGATAAATGTGACTAAGCATTGACAATACAGATGATACTGCTAGAAAAGAAGTTATTTCTGTTCCTTAGTTCATTTCATAATTGCAAAAAAAAGAAAACAAACAAACAAAATCCCCGATTAGCATGTTGTAATATTCTAAACATTTTGCAGTGCTGAAAGAAAAGAAATCCAAGTGCCAAGATAAACAAATTTCTTTGCGTTTCTCATCTACATTTCCTTCCAGCTGGTTCACAGGGCTGACAGGGGTGCCGGCCCTACAGCTAACTTAAACAGCGCCACCAAAGTAAGCTCCCCGGGTGATTTGCAGGCCTCCAGAATCATTCATTCAATGTTTTAAAACAGTTATGTATTCCTCCCAGTTTAGATTGTGTTGGATCCTGAGCTGTGGCAGGGATGAATCTTCAGGATTCCATTCTTCTCTCTTCTCCTCCTCCATCCTTCATGGAGGGATGAAGGGGCATTTGGTTATGCAACCATATTGACAACCTTTGCTCATTTTCTTCAGATTGAAGACTAATGACATTTCTACATTATCAATTATTTTTACTGGACTGTGGTACTCAAAAGCCTGCTTTTGAAAAACTTTCCGATAATGGTGCTATTTCTCTTAAAGACGAGTCATTATTTTCAGTTTCTTCTTCTGACAGGATCATGGATAGTGATGGGAAACTCTTAGTTCTGACAGTAAACTTTTGGGAATTTTCAAGCTACATATATAAATCCCTGAACTGTGGTTTTCTATATTTTTCAAAAGTCTGTTCCTAAAATGAAGGTATGTGTGCTTCACAACTAGTTATTCTTACAAATAGTGTCACTCACGTGTTAACTGAATCAATCTCCTAAAGCCTTAGCAGATGCTCACTTATGATATGTGCCATGAACACAAAGGACAGCCAGTCTGGCACCTCCCAGCTCACACTGAAAGCTATGCGACTGATTTGACAGGGGAATACAAGTACCACTCAATGTTTCCCTGTATGCAAAAAAGCTATAAGTAAGTTAGATAAAAGAAAGACCATTCATACCCTTACCCAAAAGATTTTTTTTTTTTAAATCATTACTGGGCAAATATTTCTGTGGATTCCTTACTCTCAAACTTGACCATCCAAAGGATATTGTAGAGGAATGGAGACAGTTGTGTGGATAACCCCACAGGCACCTGGTTTTGCAGCATGGTTCTGCACTCTGCAGATGCACGGCACAGCTGACCAAATCTGGACACCTCACTGACAGGCCCTAGCTCAGGAGGAACTGCCCACTTCCCGCTTTGCACCCTGCATCTCCCCTCAATGCTCCTCTGCTTCTACTGCTTGCTGTTACAAGGCACAGCAGTATCCCATGTCTTGAGCTGTCACATATCACCCACCTAATTTGGCAGCCCTGGCTCATCACCCAATGGTGGCACAGCCCTCCACGTAGCTTCCGGCATACAAGAGGGCATTGATTTAGAAGTGACAATAATCCAGGTCCACACGGAAGATGTGTGAAGGACAATGGCAGAGTTGACTGGGCTCGTGTGACATCTTGCTGCATATCCTCCTATAACTGGTGATTGGGGCCACCCTTCTCTTTGCTGTCAAGCATAAAATGGGATCACCAGGCAGAGAGGTACGGATGTCTCTGGCAAGGACTAGCAGGCTTGATACTGTATTTCTAACACATTTACTTTGACATTCTTTGAGGAATACATGGAGAAACCGACAATTGGTATGTTAGTTTACATGTTCCCTTGTTCTCATTACATTAAACGTAAGAAGGGTTTGCTTAGCATCCCCGGAAAAAAAAAAAGTGTTCACATTCTTTAGGTCTGACCCGTGGTAAGGAGAGGGAGGATTAGAGAGTATCGACTACTGACCATATGGAAGTTTTGAATGATATAAATTCAGAGATTCAGACCAGCTGAATCAAAATTAAAATGTACATGTAAAAAATGAGTTAGATAATGGGAGGGAGGACAAGAGAGAGCCAGGAGAGTGGGGAGTCACAATGAGGCGGAGACGGAGGCTTTCAGACTAACATGTGGCGTTTCCTATGTAGGGCAAGGTGATCAGAACGGGAGAAGCTGCGGTCACAGTCTGGGCACTGGAAAGGTTTGATTCCAGTATGTTTGCGGAAATGTCTTGTTAGTTCATCAGACCGAGCAAACTTCCATGTGCATCCTTCCCATGTACATTTGTAGGGTTTTTCTCCTGCAAAAGGAAAGAGAAGAGAGCTTAATTTTTTTTGAAAAGATGGTAAGGGCTGAGTTAATGCTATTAAAAAATATTATTCCCAAGAGAAGGTCATATATTTGTCCCTTTGATAACACACTGACTGGTCTATAAAGCATTTCGGGACAAATAAGAAAAAAACGAATCAATTCTTCTAATGTTTAAATGACTGCTAGCAAAAACAAAACAAAACAAAACCCTCAAATGGAGATGGATTTTAAGAGTTCTTAAAGCATAAAGAAAATGAGATCCATTCTGAGTGACTACCAATCTGAAGCACATGGTGATCTATACTGGTATTTTTCTAAGTCTTCAACCTACTTAAAGAGCTTAATTATATGTAGTACTACGGATTCAATAAGTCAAATTTCAAAGTTTGAGGCATTTTCCTATAACTATTCAAAAGTTTTCAAATAATATGCCACTTCTCAGAAGCTAGGTTTCTACATCACCCTCCTGTATTACAGTGATAATTACAGGTGATGATTAGAAGACCCTTATGGGAAAATGATGAAGAGAACCAGTCTGAAGGCTCTTATGAATAAAAAGCACTATTAATAGCAATCTTAACATTTAAAAGAACCAATTCAGGTTAAGTATCCCTAACCTAACAATCCCAAATCCAAAATGAGCACTGACACATTGCTGTAGGTAGAAAATTCTATACCATGAAACTTCGTCTCATGCAGAAAATTAAACTATTGTACAAAATTAGCTTCAGGCCATGTATATAAATAAGGTACATATGACTTGAATCCTATCCCCAAGATATCTCATTATGTATTTGCAAATATTTCAAATTTCCAATCAAATCTGAAATCTGAATCACATCTGGCTCCAAGATAGCAGATGAGGGATACTCGGCCTGTAGTGGGTACTGGGTATCAGATTAACATGTCCGCTCTCTAGAAACCTTGCTAGATTTATAGGATCTCCTTTGCCCACAGAATATACATAACAAGAGGTATATTTGTACATCTGAATTGTCATCTAAATATTTCAATGCCTTCCTCATTTTAGGCTGGAAGTTGTTAACCATGCCTGAGTCTCACCGACAACTCAGGATGCTTCCAACCCCCAAATTCCTCTCTTTGTTAATGTTCCTAATAAGAACAATTCTCAAAATTCAGTAGGGCAATCTGCATTCTGAGTTCAGGAAAATGTACACAGAGGCAAATTGCTGCTAAACCAAAATTTTACATTGGACAGTCTGAGGTGACATGAGCTTACTGTACACATCAATCATCAATACTGACTGCAATCAATCAGGCTATTGAAAACGTTTCTGTATGATTTCCTTAAGTCAGGAAAGCAGTGATAGCAAGTGCACATTTTCTCCATCTATGTAACAATGTTTATATGATCTGGCTACTCACTATCTATTTTCAGTATTGACCAAACTGGAAGATTTCCTAGAACAAATAGTGTAGGCAATGGCATAAGAGTTCCTTCAATTTTAAAAGATGGACACTACCTGAATATATTCAATTTTTATTTCTATGGAGGACAGCATTCTATTTGAATTCCATTTCTATGGCACTGTTGCATTTTATTGCTCTGTGTAAAGAAGTGTTCTTTGCTATGATAAATTTTATCATATACGTATGCTACAAGAGCTCACAGGAAGGCCACATCCTTGGTGGTGAGAGCGCTTCCCCTTCTGTTCCAGAAACAAAGTCTCCATCCCTTTCCTGGCTAGAGGACAATACTTCAAGAGATTGTGGGGACCTGGTTACAGGGATTATTCTAATCTACTCAAATTCATTACAAAAGGCAATCATTATAAAAACTGCTCTTCTATGACTGACAGAGACATCTGTGGGTGACTGTGGGAACTTTGCAGAGGCCTGGAAAACTTTCAACATGCAGGATGAGAGCTCCTAATGCAAAACCCTGGAGACTAGAAGTGTTTCAGGCTTCAGAGTTTTTCAGATTTTGGAAAGTTTGCACAGACTTTATCAGTTCAGCAGGTCTAATCCAGAAATCCAAAGTGCTCCAAAAATTTCAGATTTCTAATTTTTGGGTTAGGGATGCTCAACCTGCAAAACATGGTGGAAGCCAGAAGTTGACTTTCACCTGCCTACTTCTTAAGATAGAAGCGGGGCCGGTGTTTCTACTACCTGTATGTGTTCGTCTGTGTGCTTTCAAGTGGGAGCTTTTAGTGTACACTTTGTTGCATCCATCATAATCGCATCTGTGTATCCTCCGCTTCCTTTGGGTATCTGGAGATTCCACAGGTAAAGGTCTCTTCCCAGGCTGCACTATGACTGAGGGGTGATTCCTGTGAAAGCCAAGGTCAAGTGAGAACTGTTGAGTGAAGCTGCTGCCTTTTCTTCAGTCGACTAAAAGCGTTAACAACATTGGGCAAAAACAAACAAACAAACAAACAAACAAAAAAACCCAACAAAATAAACAACAACAAAAAATTTAGCCGTTCAACCCAAGAAGCACTGCTATATTCATTCAACAAACATTGAGTGAGCACCTACCATGAGCCAGGCACTGGGCTTGGCACCAGGACACAAAGATGAATAAAAACAGGGTTCCTGCCCTCGAGGAGCTCACACTCTAGGGGGAGACAGACATGGAGATAAGTAATGACAGCAAGAAGGGTTAGATGCTATGCTAGAGGGAGGTGCCACGCTGGGAGAGGATCTTTCCCGCAGTAAAAACCTGCCTATCGATAAGATTTCATGGTACTAGGCAATGCTGAACACGGTACTATATTTTTCCATCGGTGGCACTGATTTTTGTTATTATTCTTTAGGGAAAAATAGAAAAAGTCAAATTCTTATATCTCGAGCAACAATATTGTAGGATGTCTCTACATTTCATCCTTTATATAGCTAACATTTAGCAGCATCTTTTAAAGACTGCCAATTCACGTTCAAATTTCAAATGCTGGCTCTTATGAGGAAAAAAAAAATGTTGGCATTGCCATCTTCACAAACATAAATGTGTAGTACAGATAGTAACCAAGCCTCTGGCTGCTCACTGAGCTCCACATATGTGGGATAGAAGACTGACAGCAGCCTGTGCTGGCACTACCACTCCTGCACTAGAAAGAGTTCCACTGCAGCGTTAGGAGGGAGGGTGAGGGCCAGGTGCGGTGGCACACACCTGTAAGGCCGGTGATGTGAGGCTGAGGTAGGAGAACAGCAAGTTCAAAGCCAGCCTCAACAACTGAGTGAGACCCTATTTCAAAAGAGAAAAAAAAAAATCCTAGAGGGGAGAGAGGAAGGCCATTCCCCATGACATCAGCTCCCCAGCATCAACCTGCCAGCTCCCGCTGGGATGCCTGACATCCTTCCTACTTTCTCTCACATTCCGGAATTTGCATAATTTTCCTAGGTGGATCTGAAATCAAATCCCATTAAGCATCATTACTATCAACTGTGTCTTTCTCAGAAAGGAAATTTGGTTGAGAGAAAAGGCAGCTGGGAAAAGGCTGAGAAAAGCTGTGCCTCATGTTCTCAGGCTTCCCTCTGACAGCATCTGCCACCAAGAAGCTCCGACCGCCCATTCACTCTCCTGATGATGGAGCACTCTATACATTACAGGGGCACGTGCTGGCCTCCAGCTGTGACCAAAGATGTCTTTCGCTCCTAAAGATGTTCTGGATCACCCGGGAATGTTTTGTGTGAGTGTGCAGGAGGAGAAAAGACTGGTGAAAAGGGGAAAAGACAAGGATTCGATGAGGGTGAACACTCAAGTTGTTGAGACCCAAACAAATAAATCATGCAGTCAATAAGGGAGTCCCTGAAATGAGATTTGTTTTTTTGTCTTTTAAAAATCTGAATACACATCCCTTGTCAGTAAGGTTGACAGGCATGCTAAGAAGTGATGAGAAAAAAGAACAAAAGACATGATTATTTTAAGTGACCTTGACTTACTCCTGACACTCCTATTAGGAAAGAAAACTGTCAGCTGCGAGTGTCACTTGGCCTTCCTACCCTGATGCCTGGAAGGGAGGAGGGAACAGATGGACAAACCAGAAGTGTTTAGAGACTCGGGGCGGGATGGAGAGAAAGTCTTTAATCTCTCACACACACACACACACACACACACACACACACACACACACACACACACACGTGCGCGCGCTCTTACAAATAATGGGGAAAACAGAGAAGCCAGAGGTTTACAGACATAATTTTTTAAAATGCAAAATTATTCGTTCACAATCCTTCATAAAAAAGAAATGTATCAATTTATTTTTAACTTTCAACTCTAGGAAACCAAATGCCGAGGAAGAAATTCAATGGTTAACTATATCTCCTAAGTCTCTGGGATACGGGGCAAATATCTATCCCAGGATAACTTTAGAAATCTCTTGCAATTTTATTGGACTTTATGGGACAGGAATCTAATACTTTTAGCACAGTGATTACGACTGCTTTTCCTAGCTGTGGATCTGGATACACTGAAAGGTTTTGGGCTCCAACTTTAAATTCCAGTTCTGTCACTGATAGCATCTGTGATGCTGGGCCAGGTACTTAATTTCTTTGTAACAGGCGCGATGATTGCAATGCTACCTCAGAGGGCTTTTGGGAGACACAGTATTTTCTTCAAAGGTTATTGTGGGAAATGTGCACGAAGCACCTAAGAATGACATTTGCCCCAGAGGTAAACTTCCTAAATGATAGCTGTTGATAGGGTCTTGAGACCTCACAGTTTTCTGGTCTTCTAACTCCTCATTCTTAAGAGGAGGTTCAGGATCATAACCAAGAAGTGAGAACAGCTATCAAGTATCAGATACCTGATCGCTATTTATCTGGTCTTTGTTTTGAGTTAGGCTGACCTCTCCCAAGTTTGCTACAATACAGATGACAGAGCAATTGGATCCTTAAGCTTTTTGTTCTACATACAGCTTCACATATGCAAATATATAACAAGAAGCATCTGATATACCTGTGAGTGCTGTTAAGGCTAAAGTTCTAACTCTAGGATCAAACAAATGAATTTTAAAGCTGTAGCCTCAGTCTTTGGGAAGAGGTGCTTCCTAAGGCAAATATTCCTGTGTCTGCCTCACTGCAATAGTCCTGGGCTCTTGGTTCAAGTGACCCGTTCCTAGCTAGCTGGTTTCCTATGTGGGCTGCTACTGGGCCCACTCCAAGACATTACTTAATCACATCTGTAAGAGAATTACTTAAAGAGTCCATGTCCCAGTTGTGGCTAATCTGAATTTTTTTTTCTTCTCCCCTTTTGGAGCAAAATGCATTCTTAGGTCAGCATTAAAATAAGCACATTACTCATTCCTCATTAAAAGCCATTGGGTTTGAGATCACCCAGAAAATGAGAGACTGCTTTCAAATATTCTTCTAAAATGTTTTGAATTATAATTCAGAATAGCCTAGACTTTGGACAATACTTTTTCAGTCAATGGATTTCTCCCTATGTTGGTTCTTGGCTTTATTTAGTTACATGGTATCTTTTCATTGGGAGGGGGGCGGCAGGAACAATTACAAGTTAACAATTACATGTTACCTTGCCAGAGATACCCCTCATTATCAGAAAGAGGTGATTCAGCCTTCAAGATGTGACCATTTTACTCAGTCACTGTGCTTCCTTTTACCTGAGTGCTTAAATAGATGCAGTCAGCTCCTTAGCTATGGACAAGACAGCAGAGACAGCACTCATCAGGAACAGATCAAGTGCAGGTCCCCACAGCAAACTGTGATTAAGGCCAGTGACTGAACGTCTAGCTCATCAGTTCTCTATTTACCTTGAAGGAAACAATTCCTTTGCAAATACCTGGAAAAGTCTCTTTAGGGAGGGCACTATGTAATTGTGAGTAGTAACAGTATACAACTCTCTCAGACAGTCTCCCTGCTGGCTGCTGCAGCTGGGTAAGAAGATGCATTCTTTACTTCATCTATCAGGGAATAAATGATAACAAAAACAAAAAAGACTACAGCTCACTGCAGGGGAGAATTAAAAGTGGGCTACCACGAAGGCATCCCCCCAAGCTAAATGTGGGTACCATTAGATTATATTTGAAGTCACTAGAAAACAGCTCCTCTAAAACCAGAGACTTTGATTTGGCTGTTAAGTATGTAAGAGGAAGGTAGAGAAGAGAAGTGAAAAGATGGATAGAGCATTTATTCAAGGTGGAGAAAAAAGTGATACAGGAAGAAGATGATGGTGGGACCCAGCAGAGACAATGGCTATTGCCCTTGAACTAGGCCATTGAACTGAAGCACCACAACATAATTACAACAGCAATGATTCTAATCAATAATGAAAGAGGAGTGATTGGCCCAAGGTCATACACGTGGTGAGCAGCCAGGATTCAAAGGCCATCTTTGCAGCAACCGCAAACATAGCCTGCAGAGTGACCACCTGGGCAAGGCGAGGATGTCTACAGTGGCCGATCCCACATGGGATACTATCTGACCTGTGTCAGAGCATGTGCACACAGCACAGGCCTCCTGCGGATGGCAATTCTACAGGACACAGAACACCCTGCAGGCAGCTATGAAGATCTGAGAATAGAGTCCTTTCAGCACTGAGCTTCTCTGGGTCTCAAGAACAAGCTTCTGTTGCCAGTGCTGTTTACAGGACTCATTTTGGAACTCCTCTTTGGGGCTTGAGGCTGGCTGGAAGACTTTGATTAAAGACATCTCCCATAACAGACATATCAGGAATGACACCAGAGAGGAATCTGTGTGTCCACGTGAACCATTTCATGACCCCAGCCAGCTACGTGGACTCTCTAGAACACCAGATCCAATCTATGCAAGGATTCGCCCTTTGCACAGGAAAACTATGCACACAAGCCAGGAGGAATAGAAAAACAAACAAAAAGATTTATGTGGTGAGGTGAAAAATCATGGGTGACAAATTCAATGAAAAGCTGAGGTAATTGTTGTCGAAATGCTAGAAAGTGCACTGTTTTTGGAGAGTCTCTGTCTTTGACCAGAGCTACCGTCCACTAGATGCAACACAATGTAAGAAGTTCCTGGTCATTCACAGCATGTCACTTTTGCAACCTGTCTTTCCACTCCAAGTCCCAAGACGCAAAAAAGCCAGGTACGCCTAAATATACTTACTCTTGCAACAATGCTTGAGGGGGGGACACCGAGTTCATTAAAGGGGGTGGTGACATTTCTTCGGGATAATAATCTGTTCTCTGTGGTTCAATCCCAGGTTCAATTTTAATTTTTTTCTGTAATATGGGCTTCTCATATGATTCAATTACAGGTACTAAAAAATAAAAAAGGAAAAGTCACTCTATATATAATTTGCCAATTTCAGCTTTTAAATGCTCACTATACAGCTCCTATCTATAGCATTAATGTGCGAATATTTACTTGCCTTTGGCAGGATTAGAGCAAGAATAAATTTGTGAGAGATTGTTTCTCCCGACTATTGTTTTGCCAGCAAGCAGCAAACATAGGGACCTGGACTTCTTTGCAAAGATTCTTCCTTATGAATTCTGGTCATCTCCTTCAACCTGCAGTCTTGTGTCTGACCAGCTGGTAAACAAGGTGGCTTTTCAGAGCCACTAATTTATCACTGTGACCAAAAAGTATTTATTAAATGCCTTCTGTACCCCAAACCATGTTAGTATTCAATAAAAGAAGGTACAAAATCAAGGTTTTTTTTTTTTTTCCTATCCCAAGGCTGACAATTATATAATGAAAGCAATCATCTCAGGATAGTAAACAGCCTAACTCTCCAATGTGGACTCTTCAAAACAAGAAACAATACCAAGGAAGTGCCTCGGGCAGATGAACTTTTCCTTCCCAGAACTCAACAGCTTTGCCTGTGCCCCCGCCCCCCTCCCCATCGCCATTGTCCAGGGAAGACCTGGCACATGAAGGGGCCAGCAGCTCTGGTGCCGGCAGAACTCACCTTGCATGCTACTGTTTGAATTTTCCATCTCTTCCGACAAGGAGACCATGAGCGGCTGCTGGAGGTGGCTGGTGTACATGAAGGGGACGGGCTGCACCACGACTGGTTGGATGACGGGCAGAATGCCCGGGCTCCGGATTCCGTGCCGAGAGAGGGCAGCTGCCATCACTGGCGGCATGGACAGCGGCACACTGAAGGGCTGCACGCCTGGGGAAGGGGGTGAGTACTTTTTGATGGGCGGGCTAGAAGAAGGCATGCTCAGCCCAGGGGACGCCCTCCTGTGAGAGGACGGGAACTTGAGCGAAGAAGGAGAATTCCCAGCCGAGGGTGGCGAACCCCGCTTGTTCACCGTGAGGTCCACGGGCTCCATCTGTATTCCGTGTGACAGTCCCTCTGGGGTCTGAAAGAACTTATCGGGTAACGGCGTGGAGTAAATGACCCCATACTTGTTGGGCTTCATGGGCTCCATGTAATTAGATGGGTAGGACTGTCGGAAAGAAGAAAAAGGAAACACATGTCACCACAGTCAGATGAGAAATGTTATTTGTTTGAAGTACAAAGTAAAACAACAATATCTAACAGGGCACAATCACATGGGCTTTAAAAAACAGTTCACATATATAATTGATTCCCCGCCCCCCCCCCAAAGACCATGAGAGAGATGCTCTAGCAAAAATGTTAGAACCAATAAGACCAGTGTGGTCCTGGGGATATGTGGGAAATCTGCAGTTTTATTCTAAGATTGCCCAGTCCAATGTCAAGGTTGATACCAGGTGAGGCTCTAAAGCAGGTTGTGTCACAGGGCTTGTGGGTCTTTATTATTAGGACTCAGTGTTAGGAGACCCAGCCAAGCCACATTAACCTTGCTGCTTCTCTGATGGGACTTCTTCAACTGGCAGAAACTCTCTAGCTTTAGTATCTTTAAACTCTGCAGGACATGAAACATTCCTTATGCTAATAGTACCTTCTGATGGGTTCCAGCTGTGAACAACCCATTCCTAGAATGGCAGAGGCAGGAGGATTTCAAGTTCAAGGCCAGCCTTGACAACTTAGGGTGGGAGGTGTGGCTCAGTGGTAGAGCACCCCTGTTAAACTCCCAGTACCAGGAGCTGGGCAGGGGAATGAAGCAGGAGTGGTTTTGACTGACTGAGAGCTCTACTGGGACCATACCTTTCCTCTCTGGGCCTAGACTATGTGCATCTCCACCTGACTACCCATCAGAATCACCTCCGCTTTCTGAAATTCCAGGTGCCTAGTTCCCACTCCAAGCAACTGAGCATCATCAGAGTACCCAGAAGTAAGGGATTAGCCAGTGAAACCTCTTTGTTATCTAACTTTGTTTGTCTTTATCTGGTTTTGATGTCAGTTCCTTATCCTTATGCTTCTGTGTTTTGTTTTCTTCTGCTCTTTCTGTATCTGGATCATGATAATCTGTATAATTTCCCAAAATAGCAGTAGGGTGCATGCCCACTGGGGAAATCTATGATACTCAAGGAGAATGACATTTATTGCTTTAAAATGATTATGTGTTTATTTAAATGTGTAAGAGAAAAGGTTCTATTTCTTATAGTAGTGATATAGAAAGAGTTTAAAGCCAGCCTCAGCAAAAGTGAGGTGCTAAGCAACTCAGTGAGACCCTGTCTCCAAATAAAATACAAAAGGGCTGGGGATGTGGCTTAGTGGCGAGTACCGAGTCCAAGCCCTGGTACACCCTGCATACCCCAAAAGCAATTCTAGAAAAGAAGGCAAGAAAAATGACTAAATATCAGAAGTGCAGGTACTTTGAAGGTGGATACCCCAAAATCCAACTTCCTGGAGGTTGTGAGGTCAAAATTTAAAATTGGATTCGGAGAGATAAACCATGTAATGAGCTTAACATAAAACTTGACACACCAGGTTGTCTTAGGAGTCCCTTCTTGTCCTTACACAAGAGATGTACACTGTAATGGGCTGTGAAATTCCAAACAAGGCTTCTCAAACTTCTCTGTCCACTCAAATTCACTTGGGCATCTTGTTAAAATGCGGATTTTGAATGACTAGGGAGCAGTCCAAAGTGCCAGAGACCACTTTTTGAATAGCAAGGCTCTAAATGACAGAATAAAGATTGACTGAAGTGGGGAGGTGGGAGCAAAAAGAATTGTAACTGCTAATACTGCTCAAGGACAGGAAGGATATAAAATCAGAAAATACAAAATACACAAAATTTTAACACCAGCTTTGAGTTATATGTCAAGGATTGAATGAAGATGATTTCTACATTTCTTTAGAACCTATCATAAAAGAAGCACACCAGCAAGTGAGAGGTCCAAAATACACAGCAATATTAATATTACATATGTTTCAATTTAAATATTAACCAACAAGAAAAAGAATCACAAGGTTCACTAGAAATTATTATAGATGACGCATAATGAAGAGTTCAGGAATTAATTAAATTCAAGGAAGAGACAGACTTCTAGTTCTAAAGTTGAACGTGCTTTTTATAATTCTCCAGAGGGCAAAAGTCCTGGTGCTAGCAGAAAAGTTCAGGAAATGGAAGGCGGCATCGATTCTATTTACCAAAATGTAGCTTCTCCCTTATTTTCAGCCCTATTCTTCCAAGACCTCCCTCTGACCTAGATTTTAAGGCCAATAGTTATTGGCAGCTAAATAGGAAGCAAAATGAGGACATACTTTCATTGCTGCCATTGCTGGATTTTTCTATCCATGGCATGGGTTTAAGGCAAGTAGGAATTTAGAACCTTGGGGGATTTGTAAATTTAATATTCTCAGGTTTCTCAAGCCATCAAGAAAGAAGTCACACATGAAGCTCAGTTTTAGAAAAACGCAGTTTTTACCAATAGTTTGCTTTCAAATGCATGCCCCCTCCCCTACTGGACATGTATTTCTTCTGAAGTGCCAGGGAGACATATATATGTCGCCAGTCACCCAACTCTTGAGTACTAATTAACTATTTTCAGTCCAACTGCCTCACAAAAGAGTGAAGAAATGTGGTCCTCCAAACCAGTTCACTGGCAAATTGCACTGCAGTGCTTACCAGAATCTTCTCTGAGCCATGTTTACTTTAATTATTTGGGTGGAGCACGCAAGCTACTGCAATCAGCTGGCAACCATTTGGATCTCCACAGAGTAAGGACTGATACAGGGCTCCACTTGGGTGTGCCCCGGGCGAGTCCACCCTGGTAACAGTTGCTTCCCTTCTGCTCCAGACCATTCCTATCTTCTAACAAAGCAATGCAAATAGGCGTGGCTGTACTGGTCCTAAATCCAAATCAGCACCAAGGGTGGATGAAGCAGAAAATTCGTTGTTTGTGGCCATGGATGAACATTCAATGCCGACCCCCCTGTTCTGGAACAGATCATCCCAAAGACAAGACACAAGCAAGTTCTACCCCAACCCCCAGCTTCATCAAGGGAGGAAAGGGGGTCTAGTTTTCAAAACCATCTGTTAAGAAGGAAAGTTCCTTCCTTCTGTTGGAACATGCACTCAAACATCTACACCTCCAGCGTGTATGTATTCACTGGCTGCTGCTTCTCACTGGAATGTGAAGCGAGGGCCTGGCATAGGTGCTCAATAAACACTTGACGACTGCTTGGAGCAAATTAACACGCTCTCAGCAGGCCTTCACCGATGCCAGGCTAAGCAGAGGACCAATTCTTTTGAATCTTGGAGGGGGTGAGGGGCGGAGAGATACGTTGGGGAAAAAGGCAGAGGGTTTGGATAGTTTTCCCAAAGGTCTACCACTTTATACCAAACTGAGAATTTCCATAGCTTCTTATTTTATTAGGAAAGGTTTTGGTGAGTTTTCCATAAGGAGTCTGTTTAAGTGGGCAGGGTGACTGAACACATCTGGAAATGACTTGCCCCTCTGTGCAACCAAAGCAGAAGGCTCTCTTTCTACCAGCCCAGAAAAACCATGGAAAGTTAGTTAGGATGGAGCAAGGGAAACTACTGGTTCTAAGTACCTCTCAATCTCTAAAGAGTCCGAAAGAAGACAATATTCACAAACCAAAAAGAAAAAAAGAGGAACACACTTCTTCAAAAGTAATCTTCCCATGGGAACACAAGATAATTATAAAAAGATATTTATTAAAGGATATTTTTTTTAAAAATTGGCTTTTTAAAACACAATTTGCTTTCTGATTTCCTGAATCAAATCCTTTAAATTTGTAAAACAAACAAACAATTTCTTTATATGTGCATATTTCACAAATTAAAAAAAAAAAAATCAAGGCTCAGGGACCTGCTGGAGAGTCTCCCAACCTGGGGACAGTGAGCAGCAACGATCCCTGGCGCAGACCTGGAGGGATACTCCACTCCTTGTTCTCACACATTCTAACAGGGTGAGCCAAAGCCTCAGAGCATAAGCTTAGCAGCAAATAGTATGAGGACTTATATTTTAGTAAGAGAAAAAAATGACATTTTTCACTTTTTCTAAGCTATGGCAAAATACCAAATAAGCAGATTGCTTCTGCTGGGCTCTTCTTTTAAGGGGTGGGGAATAAGTTACCATAAAATATTTTTATTCATAAGTGGGACTTTAAAAAATTGTATAAATGTCCCATGTTGCCTTAACATTTATAACATATACTTGAGTAGTCAAAGACTCTGACCCTCGAGCCAAAGACTGAAATAAAAAGAAAATAGAATAATAAATTAGATTCATACAGTGCATCTATGAAGGTAAAGAAGATGAAACCTGAAGATGTAATTAAGAGTGGAAACCAAAGCTCTTTATTTAACTTTTTAAGACAAAAATAATCACAACTCCTTACTCTTCTAATGTTTCAGTTAACTAAAATTTCTTCTCTGAATTAAGGGAAAAAAAAAACCTTCATTGTAAAGACTGACATTAACTTTTGGTGAAAATATCTAATTAAATTTTGTAGGTGTCAGTTGAAATCCAGAACACGAAGGAGAAAAAGATTATTAGCTGCAAAAATATACTTCTATATATTTTAACTTCATGTATTAATACAAGTTATAGCACTACAAGTTAATAGTTACTTCCAATTTATTTTATTTCCCATTTTTCACTTAAGTGCATTTCCTTTCACTTAATTATTTCATATCAATTTAGCAATGTGGATCTTCATTTTAGCTTGAAATGAGGCTCTTGAGCCATATTTCCATGCTTGATTAAAAGCACTGGAAGTACACCCAAGAGTGAAACCCATCAGTGATGGTTCTGCATCATTTGTCAAATTAGTCATATTCTCCAGCACTGAGAACCTATTCACATTTCAAAGACAGAATTAATGGGGAAATTGTTTCACCTTAATTTTCCTCCAAGAGGACCCTGCACGGCTGGGGGAAAAGGGGTTGATAAATGGCAGCATGGACTAAAATGAGAAGTAAATTTACTTTTCCAATTAATAAAATTATTATTGCTTGGTTATTATCACACTCAGACACTCGGTTATCCAGTTATCATGCTGGAATGTAAATGTCATTTCCTTCAAGACACTCGGACTTAGCTTTTCATTACAGACACTGGTAAATACTTCACTGGCTTAGTAATATCCATGGCAACTGGGTTCCGAGGGCCTCGAACTGACCCCCCGCGCATAAACAGTTTTGGCAGGAACCTCCCTCAGCCAATGCATAAGGATGATCTAATTTTGCAAGCGTGTCATTACCAACCTTCGGATACACAAACCCAGGCCAAGTTTTTCCCCTTGTGAATATTTTCCAAGCCCGAGGAAGAAAAAAAACCAAGACAGAGTGGGAGCATCGCCTTGTTGTTCAATTTTCACTAAAACAGATCCCCTCTAGTCTAAGCCACTCCTGCTCTGAAGTCAGACACCCCTCTGCCCACCACGTCTCCTCTTCATGGCAACAGTACCGCACCTACATAAACACCGGCACTAGTTACTAGTCCCCTGGTGTCTCACAGTATCTGATGGCCTGGCTTGGGAGAGAGGCCAGCTTAGCAGGAGGACGTTGAAGATGACAGTGGACATAATTACCACCCAGCCAGATTCTTCCCAGTGAAATGAGATTCTGTCCTCACTGCCAAGTTCCTTCTCTCTGGCTTCTCAGTCATCTCTCATGTGGATGATTTTTAAGCGACTCATTTTATTCTTGATATGGTTTTCCATACAAAAGGTTTGGGGAGTTTTGTAAATCTAACTGCTGTGACAACCACATTCTCCTGTGGCCTAAGAGTTATGCTGAGCATGTCTTGGAGGGTGTGGGGGACACACCGAGGAAGCAGGGGTCACGTTCATTAAGGGATGCAGCTGCTGCCGGGGTGGGGGGGTGGGGAGGGGTGGTGGGGGGCACACCCCTCATCTGTTACTGCTCTACCTGCCAAATGACTGGCAAGTGGTAACTTCAGGGACTGACACAAGACACACCCCTGTTGGTATGACTCGGAATAGACAAGGAGAGGTATTCAACCCTGGAAAACTTACCACCGAGACAGGGTCCATCGCCTCTTGCTTGACAGGCACTGGGTCAAACATGAGCATTCTTTTAGTTAAACCTTCTAGGGTGCTCTGGTGTTTGGCCTGGAAAATAAAACAAGATGTCCATTTAAATTCCAAGGTCACTTCAGATATAAACTAGTAAAAATAAAATTCCATACTCTATACATCCCCCCCACCCCCGGGCTTGGTCTACCCCTTTCTCTCTATGCTCAGAAAGACTGGAATTTGTTTCCTTTACCTGCGGAAGATGCCCTTTTATGTAATTAAAACCATACTCCATGGTCATAACCAGATGAGGGTTGACCAGAATCGCTAACTCAAATACACAGGCCCTGAGATTTCTGGAACAATATGTACAACCTCTTTTGAGTAGCAAAACTTGCATAAGATCTCGCTGGGTGACTCAACAGAAGTTCACATTACATAGGACTGTTAAACATCTTTTCTTCTGTATGTTCATCACAGAAACATGGGAGAGGGGAGATGAGCCAAAAGAAAACCTAAAACCAACCATCCTTGTTTATCCTATCAAACCTTCATTTTAAGTGGGAGCAAAGAATACATACTATTTTTTTTTTCCAGTAAGCATTATTCTACAACAAATTCAGCAGCATGCCACTGTTCAAACAAATCAATTTAACATCCCCTTTTACCAGGCACTACCATTATTTATACTTGTATCTTCCTGTATGTTCATTAGTTGTTTTTTCTTTATTAGCTTTTAAGATATTTTTTTCTGTAGAAGAATTGTTGGGTTAGAAGCATGTATATTTTACAAAACATTCTGTTGGTCTCAAATGTATTATTATTATTGGTACCAGGGATTGAACCCAGGAGTGCTTAACCACTGAGCCACATCCCCAGTCCTTTTTATTTTGGGACAGGGTCTCACTAAGTTGCTTAGGATCTAAGTTGTGGAGGCTGGCTTTGCAATCCTCCTGCTTCAGCTTCCCTAGCTGCTAGGAATACAGGCCTGCGCCATTGCACATGGCTCAAATGACAAATTATTTTTTAATTACATTGATTTAATTACTAAAGTAGAATTCATCTTTACCATTTACATTTCTTTGAGAAATGCCCCTTCAGCTTGAGCCCTACCCTCTCTTATTGTTTTCTAAACACATTTTACATATGAAGAACATAATCTTATCACTTCTTAGGAAATTACCCTAATGTAAAGGAAACATCTACCCTTATCCTCTGCTGTGCTTCTCTTCGGTTGTTCAACTTTTTAATCACACTGCTTTCTTTTTTGTTCTATACTGGTCCACTTTTAATACTAATCTACATCAGGTCAACTGCTCTTCTCAGGACAAAATATCTAATCTGCACAACGTTCAACTGCCTTTCACAGCCCACAGAATCACTGCCCAGCTACCACTCGGATCCTCAGAAACCTGCTTCAGGTACTTACTATGCAAATTTGCTCAGTGTTTTGATTAGAAGCAAGATCTTTATACCTCACCCTGGCTTAAGGGGCAAAGTGAACAAGCTCTAGATTTGAGTTCTACCTGAAAAAGCTGCAGAAGTCCCATATTCTGGGTTACTTCCTATGTTTCAGTATCACAACCCTTCACCCCACATCTTCTTGACAGCAATTCTGTAGTTTGTTATCTATGGGTCATGCTAGTTCACCTTCACCTACAAAATTATGGAAGTATAATTGAATTATTTGAAGGAAGCCTGTTCTGTGAACTTCATCCATAACACAACATATGACCTTCACTTCCAAAGGACATTTTCCTACATCACAGAATCTGAATACCAGGCTGCTCAAATCCACGGTGCCACTGTCCTCTTATGAGTAAACCCAGCAGGAACAAACCAACAGCCAGTGAAAAATGGACGATTTCATAATGAAGGATGAAAATCCTTTTGTGCCTTGAGATCTATTATTAACCAGTCCCAGCATAGCATGTTCGAATGGTCATGGTACCAAGAACTGTTATCCATGCCCCCCATCAGACTGTAAACACAGGTGAGATCCCTTGCTTAGATGGATCAAGTCAGATGACCTGCTGCCCTGCCGAGGCTCCCACCAACACCCCCTACACCCCAGCTTTTAAAATGAATGCACTTACAGATTCATCTAGCCCATAAAGATGGGATCTCCAGGCAAACCCTTTTAAATAAAAGCATTCACACCCTCAGGTGTGAATGAGAGAAGAGAGTCCTGATCCAAGCAGATTGCAACCTGCCATGGAACAACTCTTCCCAGGTCCGATGCAGACCACACCCTGTAACTACTTCTCAAACTTTTAGGATGATCAAATGAGATAAAAAATAAAACAAAAACCACAAGGGGGGCACAGTGGCCCAGTGAGTGGGGAGGTTAAGGCAGGAGAGTTGCAAGCTAGAAGGCCAGCCTTTGCAATTTAATGAGGCCCTAAGCAACTTGGTGACACCCTGTGTCTAAATAAATAAATAGGGCTGGGGATGGAGCTCAGTGGTAAAGCAACCCTGGGTTCAATCCCTAGTATCAAAACAAAACAAAAACAAAAAGAACAACAAAAAAGCCCAGAACCCAAACCAACAAATAAACAAACAAAAACCCACAAAAAGACAAAAAAACAGAAGTCAGGTGTGGTGGTACACACGTTAATCCAGCTACTCCGGAGGCTGAGGCAGGATTCTGAGTTAGAGGCCCACCTCAGCACATTAGCAAGACCCTGTCTAAATAAATAATTGGGGCAGGGGGTGTAGCTCAGTGATAAAGTGCCTTAGAAATCCCAGCACAGCAAAACAAAAATCAAAAAACAAAGGTTTTGCCTTCTAAATTGTTTCTGCCAACAAGTATGCACACAAGTATATGCACAATTTTTGGAAATACAGGTACATGCTATACACACAAAACTAGATTGGTTGGTTTCAAATTCTGGAGCCATATTTGATATTTTCTAATAACAAATGACTTAAATGATATTACAGTGATAATCACAGGCTACGGAGCAAGAAAACGTGGGAAGCTAAGATAGAAAGGAACCAAGTTTAGGAAGTCAATCAAATACATTTATGTAATCAGGATTTGCTTATTTATTTGCAAAAAAAATTCTACATTTTGAACTAACCACTTTGTCACTGGTCTGGACTTTATGGATTCTGGTCTAGAATTAGAAGAGTGACTGCAGTGTCTTCGAGGTGCCTTCCACAGAACTAAGAAGTAACTTCACTACTGCAAGAATTAGGATCCCTTATTTGGTGACCCTTGTTACCCATGGGCAGCTCAGTGCTCTGGGGGATATGATCAGAATGCTTTAAAAGAATGCTGAATAAACCAAAAATGCTACAGAAAATCTACCACACAACACCAGCAGCAATCTTAAGTAGAACAGTAGGTGGCGCACTAAAACAGGTATTAGAGGCTAGTGCGCGGCAGCCAACTGAGCAGGCCAACCCCAGGGTCTTTAAATCCAGTGGGTTTGAACCTGGCTGAGGATGAGGCATCCTGTGAACTCTGTGAACCTGTGGGTATCACAGATGAGGAGGCCTCAAATACGGCTCTGTTTTTCCTATTTTCCAATCACACGCATTTACATCTCAGTTACATTCAACTTGCTTAGCAGAAATACATTCTAAACCAAGTAACCCCAGAACAACAAAACTGCAATAAAAACCAAAACCAAACCAAAACAACAACAACAACAACAAAACAACAGAAAACCTTTATGTTACTGAGGTGCCTACAAGTAAAAATACAGGATATCACTACTGCCAAAATAATTTCCTACAACTGGAGCAATTATGTTATTTTACTAGGAAGGGCCCATAAAACTGAACTTTTCCTTAAAAAAAAAGAAAGAAAGAAAGAAAGAAACAAACAAAGAAAAAACATTTCCCCTTCAGACTCTCTATACTTCTGACTTTTCAGATGTCAAAAAGGGTCAGATTTCTGTCAAAATGCAAAACTGTGGTTATATATTAAAAACCTGGCAAATCCCTGATGTGGATTCCAGACTATGGAACAAGCAATAGGACTCTGCTTCAGAGCAGAGGGAGCCCTAGAAGGCCCCCTGGACATCGCTTCCAGAGGGAGGAGGCATGAGCTCCGGGCAGGCACAGAAACACAGGGTCCTTAATGGAAGGCTGGTTCTGTGGTTACAAGCTCCTCTGCAGGGAGCTAACTGGTCTGGAGCGTTTTATTATAGAAACAGCCTTATCAACGACAGCCCCCTGCTCAGAAGCCGGGGATGGACCAGCCCCCTGCTCAGAAGCCGGGGATGGACGAGGGAGGGAGAAGGCAGAGTATGAGGGATGCTGCCCGCCCCCCTTTCTGGGGATGGAGCAAGACCTGCCTGACATTCTCCTTCCTCATTCCCTTGTACTATGTCCTATTTCTTTCCTCAGATCCTCAAAGGGTTCCAGCTTTACATTCTCCCCATCCAGTCTGACCTAAGGTTCCCCACTAACCTGCTTCCCTCAAAGCAAACCTTCCTAGCTGACTCCCCCAGGTATAGAGATGAGTACCATTAAAGCAACCATTAAACTATCTCTAAGTATCCTCTCCACGCTCCTCAGTGTTTGGAATTTACAGGAGGAAGACTGTGACCATCTCCTACCCTTCACTCCCCAGAGGGGGTTAAAATAATAGGTGTGGGTGAGTTTGTGGGCAGGCGCACCCCGGGGTGTGTGTGTGTGTGTGTGTGTGTGTGTGTGTGTGTGTGTGTGTCCCTCTTTCTCCCTCTCTCAGCCAGAAGGACTGCCAGGCAGGCAAGTGAAGTCCTTGCAGGTAAAACTTCCTTACCCAGGTAAACTTTTCTCTTTTCACTCTTTTAACCCAACTCTTTGAAAGCTGCTGATGGGTTTAATCATATTTAATGGCAGTTGTGCTGGCCAAAAATACAAGGGTACCGATGACACATGGGGGCAGGCATAAAAGTTGGAAAGTTCATCGAGAACAGCGAAATGCTGGCACCTACCTGGAAAGGCGTCCCGTTTTCATACCACCCAAGGATTTCCACCTACCTCAGTCTTCTATTGTTGGTTTGAAAGGAAAAAAATTCCACGAAATATGTCCCAATCTCTGCCCCTCATAAATTAGTTATTTTGCATTAATGTGTTTTATAAATGGGAGAGAAGTTAAT